ATAAAAGTCATGATGATCAAGACTATCATTGTTATTATCATGATAATCAAGTTCCTAATCGTGATCAACAAGGTTTTTATTGTGATAATCAATATCGGGGCCGCCATGATCCTTCTGGTCATCATGATTGTTGTGACCCTTCTCATGATCCTCATTCCCAGTTCACTATTGGGTCAATGGTGTGTGTTGATACACAAAGAGGTGATCCATTGTATGGTGTAGTACAGTGGATGGGGACAGTACCTGACTACCCAGCTGGAGCAATAGCTGGAGTGGAATTGGTAAGTCATTATTATGTGACATAAATTAATTAATGTATTATTAATAGGAGAGGCCGTTGCATGGCTGTGCTGACGGCACATGGCGTGGAAGAAGATTCTTTACATGTCCTCCTGGTAATGGTTACTTCTGTCCATTGACAGCTCTCAAACAAGACACAAGATATATGGATGAAGGACAAGTACCAGCACATATGAGACAAGATATTGATAACCGTATGTTAATACAGTTTGATTTATTTATTACCTTCTTTATAGCATTAGCAAAGTATGCACCAGTAACTGAAGACATTGATACAATGGCATCTCCTGATTTATTCAAATTGTACATTGGTGATGCTCATGGTATTCAAGGTCATCATAATTCATGTTACCTTGATTCCACTGTGTTTGGATTATTTGCCCTATCTGATTCATTTGATGAGTTGATATTCATAGAACCAACTGAAGAGGTGGGAAGAAAAATTAAATATTACCTTTGGAAAGGAATCATTAATCCATTAAGAAAGTGAGTGTTTTCAAAACCATAATTACTGGTTTATATAACTGGTTTATATAACTGGTTTTTAAAACTGGTTTTCATTACTGGTTTATCCTGTATGTAGGTATGGATTAGCAAGGTATGAGTCAGTAATGGACTTGAGAGATAGTTTAGAAGAATTTGGTAGAATGAAAGGAGCCAAAACTGATGAAAAAGGTTAACTATATGACATTATTATTATTGTCATTATTATTATTAGATCCTGAGGAATTTCTTAATCTTTTGTTTAAGGAGGTGCTTCACATTGATCCATTTCTGACTATTAAGTAATTAATAATTATTATTATCGTTAATTAATTTTGCATTAGACGTCCTTTTGGAATTGAAAAGGAGTTTTTTATTCAGTTGTTCTTTGAGATTGATCCTAATAATACTGAAGTACCTAAAACAGAGAAACTGATAGCTCAAATGTTTCATGAACAAAACATCTCATTCACTAGAGTAAGTTTATGTTACTTATCATAACTTGTGATAATTATGACACTTGATGTGTAGGTTCCTTCCAAACTGTTGCTTCAGATGCCACGTTTTGGTAAAGAATTCAAAATGTACAGCAAAATAATTCCATCACTGACACTTGATGTGAAACCATTAATGGACCCCAGTAAGGAAAAAAATACTGATTATTATCAAATTCTTAGTATAGGTACTAGGGGTGATCAGAAGTGTAAAGTTTGTTTAAGACATTCAGTATCTTCTGTTTGTCACACTTGTCCTAAGAAAGTATTCAACATTACTGATCCTTATGTTTATTACTGTTCTGAGTGTGATGAAAGAGTACATAGAGAAAAAGAGCGTAAAGGTCATCGTGTAGAAGCTGTAAATATTAGGCCAGGAACTAGTGATGCTACCAATTTTTCAAAGATGGAGTTGCTGTCAGTGATATGTATAGAGACCAGTCATTATGTGTGCTACACTAGATCAGGAGATAAATGGCTGTTTCATGATAGCATGGCTGATAGATTACGTAAGATAAATCACTATTGATTTATTATATTTCTCTATTCTACAGATGATATGTACAATGTTCCTAGAGTGGTTGATGTTACTGCTGGGTTACAGGATTGGATCTACTCCCCTACTGCTAGTGAGGATCGACTGATGAATACTCCTGCTAGAGATATACCAGAATATGTTCGTAGATTCACTCAAGATATTTACATGTGTGTATATGTTAATCCTGACCTTGATATGTATGGTGACAATGATGTTGAAGAGTCACTTTCACCCAATAATAAGAATTAACGATAATAATTATGATGTTAAATGTTTGTAACACTTATGCTTTTTTTGTTCGGATTTGACTGCTATTATTCTGATCTGGATATGTATGGTGACAATGATCTTGAAGAATTACTTTCACCTAATAATTATTATTGACCTTTTTGCACATTATTTTTTACTGTTAATGTTATGATGTTCATGCATGGTAATATCTATGATTAATTAATTAATTTACTGGCAGCCCCTCCCACACCTTGAATTTCAGGGGCTTCATGGCTTCCATTGTCATGAAAAAAAACCATGGGTATGGGCAATCAAAAGAAGAAGAAAACCCACCAAGTACTAAAAGTAAGGCAATTTTTGTTGTACTAATAGATCACTAGGCTATGCATATCAACAGATCCTCCTTATCCTCTTTCCCAGTTCACTATTGGGTCAGTGAGTTCTGGTGCAGTTAGTAAAGAACAAGTCGAAGAACAAAGAAGAGTTTTTGCAGAAATAGAATTGCGAAAACATCACGAGAACCAATGTGAAGATTGTGAATTACAGCGTGGGCAGCGAGGAGAAGGAAGTGCAGAATTAACGAATACAATAAAAGCATTGAATTTTGCTGGGCCTGATGCAGTTAGTAAAGAACGAATCGAAAAAGAAAGAATAGCTCTTGAAGAAATAAAATCACAGAGACGAGAGAATCATGACCAACAGCATGAAGATTATCAAGTGATTGGAGGGATTGAAGAGAGTATTGTAGAAGAAAATTATGTATATACATGTATCACGTTATGTTTCATCTTATGAACAGGATAATGAAAGAGGAAGAGGAGACAATAATCAGCAGCAACAACCTAACCTATCTGTAATGGTTGAAGGCATCAGGCTCCAACAACCACAGCAGTCACCAAGAGCTCAACACCTCAACAATGAAGGAGGCAGAGAAACAGCAAGTCTTCCATCTCTTCATAATGATGGTACACATAATCATAATTCACCTCGTTATGATCATAATTGTGATCATCATATTCCTGGTCATCAAGATCATCGTAATTTTGATCATGGTGATCCTAATTGTGATCAACAAGTTCATGATTATTATAATCGTGATGATCAAAATTATGATCAACAAGGTTATGGCCATAATCATCAAGGTTATAATCGTGGTCATCAAGATTGGGCTCATCATGATCCTCCTGGTCGTCATGATCATTATGATCATTCTCAGCGTCCACCTGATCCTTCTTATCCCAGAGATCCTCGTCAAGGTCCCCCTCCTGGTCCTCCTCCTGATCCTCATCATCAGTTCACTATTGGGTCAATGGTGTGTATTGATGTACAAAAAGGTGATCCATTGTATGGTGTAGTACAGTGGATAGGGACACTACCTGATTACCCTGGAACAATAGCTGGAGTGGAATTGGTAAATGTTTATGTACTTATGATTGAAATCATATAATGTATGGTATATGTATTTATATTAGTATTTTTATAGGAGAAAACGCTAAGTGGTGGTACTGATGGTACATGGCGTGAAAGAAGATTCTTTACTTGTCCTTATGGTAATGGTTTCTTTTTCCCAGTGACAGCTCTTAGACAAGACACAAGATATATGGATGAAGGACAAGTACCAGCACATTTGAGACAAGATATTTATAACCGTATGTTAATACCTTTTGATTTATTTATTATTATCTTCTTTATACATGTAGCATTAGCAAAGTATGCACCAGTAACTGAAGAAATTGACACTATTGGTTCTCCTGATCTATTCAAATTGTACATTGGTGATAGACCATGTGGTATTCAAGGTCATCATAATTCATGTTACCTTGATTCCACTGTGTTTGGATTATTTGCACTATCTGATTCATTTGATGAGTTAATATTAGAAGAACCAACTGAAGAGGTTGGAAGAAAAGTTAAACATTACCTTTGGAAAGGAATTGTTAATCCTTTGAGAAAGTGAGTAACTGGTTTACATTACTGGTTTATATAACCGGTTTTCCTGTATGTAGGTATGGATTAGCAAGATATGAGTCAATAATGGACTTAAGAGATAGTTTAGAAGAATTTGGTAGAATGAAAGGAGCCAAAACTGATGAAAAAGGTAAACTACAGTACTTACTTTAACTTTTTATGTATTATTATTATTATTATTAGATCCTGAAGAGTTTCTTAATCTTTTGTTTAAGGAGGTGCTTCACATACCTCCATTTCTCACTATTAAGTAATTAATAATAATAATACTAATTTGTTATAAATTATTACATTAGACGTCCTTTTGGAATTGAAAAGGAGTTTTTCATTCAGCTGTTCTTTGAGATTGATCCTAATAATACTGAAGTACCTAAAACAGAGAAACTGATAGCTCAAATGTTTCATGAACAAAACATCTCATTCACTAGAGTAAGTTTATGTTGCTTATCATAACTTGTGATAATTATGACACTTGATGTGTAGGTTCCTTCTAAACTGTTGCTTCAAATGCCACGTTTTGGTGAAGAATTCAAAATGTACAGCAAGATAATTCCATCACTGACACTTGATGTAAAACCATTAATGGATCCCAGTAAGAAAAAATTAATGCCTTTATTTTTATTTGGTATTTGTAAAGGTAAAAGAGGAGGTCAGAAATGTAGACTCTGTCTAAGTGGTTCAGTATCTTCTGTTTGTTACTCTTGTCCTAAGGAATTATTCAACACTGATGATCCTTATGTTTATTATTGTTTTGAGTGTAACGAAAGTGTACATGAATCTCGTAAAGGTCATCGTGTGGAAGCTGTAGATATCAAGCCAGGGTCTGCTGATGTTGGACAGATTTCAAAGATGGAGTTGCTGTCAGTGATATGTATTGAGACCAGTCATTATGTGTGCTACACTAGATCAGGAGATAAATGGCTGTTTCATGATAGCATGGCTGATAGATTACGTAAGATAAACCACTATTGCATTATTATATTATTCTTTATTTTACAGATGATATGTACAATGTTCCTAGAGTGGTTGATGTTACTGCTGAGCTACAGGAGTGGATCTATTCCCCTACTGCTAGTGAGGATCGACTGATGAATACTCCTGCTAGAGATATACCAGAATATGTTCGTAGATTCACTCAAGATATTTACATGTGTGTATATGTTAATCCTGACCTTGATATTTTGTGTAATGATGGTAGCAATGAGCCTGTAGAGTCATTTTTTGATTCTCCTGCTACTACTACACAATTATATCAAGCCACTGATTCTGTTAAAGATGTACTTCATATGCGAGAAAAGAAAGAAGATACATATGAATCAATCATTGACCAGTTATCGTTGAGTTTAGAGGAATTTGATGACAAGTCTCATATCAGTTTTACTAAAGAGAGCTTACACAAACTGCAGAAAGGGAAGCCTCAGTCTCTACAAGATGCTATTAATCAGCAGCCACACTCGTTTGAAGGTATCATAGCCGTTCATCAGCAGATGCGTGCTGATATAACGTGGTATAGTACCAGCTTTGATCACATCACTCAACACTGTGAAGAGCTGTTTGATAATCTGGAGGAAAGAAGAAGTAGCTTTAGACAAAAAGCAAGTCAATTACAAGAAGTTTATAAACAGGATATAGATAAAATGAAGGAAATGAATGGAATTTTAACATCTCGTCTTCGGTCTTATCAAAATTTACACAATAGCCTGACAAAGGAATATCAACAGCTTTCAACGTCACATGACACCCTCACAGCAAACCATCAGAAGCTTTTGAAGTCACATGACACTCTTGGGAAATCACATGATAGCCTCAAAAAGGAACAGCAGGAGCTTCGGAAGTCAAATGCAATGCTCACAATTTCTCATGAGCAACTTCAAACATCTCATGATAACCTCAAAGCTGCTCATCAGCAGGAAGTCACTCGACACCAGAAGTCACAGGAAGAGAATGAGAACAGATTACAACAAGTTAATCAAAGATTAGTTCAAGCACAGACAGAACTAGCAGCAAAACAAAACGAAGTGGCTGAATTACAAAATACGCTGCAAAAATTAGAAAATAATTGGAAGGTCAGTCACACAGAGGTATCACTGTCAAAGAAAGAGCTAGGCAGAGGAGGCTGGGGTGTGATCTGGATAGGAGAGTTCAGAGGACAAAGGGTAGCTGTGAAACAGATGCATGAACTGATTAAAAGTGATGAATATATGGAGCTCCTTCATCGAGAGATCAACACAATGTCTCAGTTGCGTCATCCTAATCTCCTCCAGTTTATAGGAGCTGTGTTAGACCATCCATCAGGTAATCCTATGATTATCACTGAAGTAATGGATACCTCATTACGGAGTGCCTATGAGAGGAAGGAGCTTACTACTGATCCTGGCTGTAGACCAGTGATTCTATCTATAATGCGTGATGTAGCTGTGGGTTTAAACTACCTCCACTGTCTACCTGATCCTATTATTCATCGTGATGTCAGCAGTGCTAATGTACTACTGGAATCAAAGGGAGTCAACAAATGGAAGACTAAAATATCCGACTTTGGATCCGCTAAATTCGCTCGTGCAGCAGTTACTGCAGCACCAGGAGCAGCTGTTTATAGTGCTCCAGAAAGTATCGCAACAATTCATAGAAAGAAGAGAAGGCAAACCCCAAAGATGGATTCACATAGCTACGGTGTTCTCTTGTGTGAAGTGCTGACATGCCGTTTTCCAGATGAGGAAATATTTGAGGCTTTATTAAAGCGAGTCAAAGTCAGCTTACCTCAGCTGCATGAACTCATAGTTTCGTGTATCGATGAAGAACCAGACAAACGACCAACAATGTCTGAAATAATCGTCAAATTGGATCGTTGTATTGCTAATAAGTAGCACTGACTGTTTCCGATTACACATGCAAGTACTTTTACAATAATTGTTAAGAACAATTTAGACTTTATTATTTCATTTTCTATTCGTTTGCTTTTTCTACTATTACTTTTAAATGGTACTATTATTGTACTTTTTCTTAAAATGCTATTCTATTTTAACTTTTACAGCTAAAGGGCATCATAACGACATTCATAGTTTCCAGTTTATTCTAAGTTATAAATAATTGTCTACTTTCTTTGGAAGAGAGGTACCGGTGTGACAGCGTTGAGCAAAAAGAAAGCAAAAACTAATGACTTCAACTACAGTGGACTGTCCTTTTACAAGCTCTTCCGAGGCTTCAGAACCTTCTTCAAGATATTACTCCCTTTTTAAACCAGGAGACCGGGTTGTGGTCCAATCTGCTGTAAAAGGAGAAGCATTCTACGGTACAGCAAGATGGACGGGCCAGATCAGGAAGGCTCACTTAGGAGATGCTATACCAGTCGTTGGAGTAGAGATAGTGAGTTTTGATAGAGAGAGAAAGAGGGGGGAAGATATAGTAATATATTGTACATGTGGTTGGTGGTGGTGTGATTGCTGAAAGGGTGAGAGAGAGAGAGAGAAAGGGCTGGCATGTTTTAAATTAGAAATCTATTTTTAGAACACAATTCAAATTTCAAATTATTAGCAGCTGTGCGTAGGCGACCAATCGCCATAGACTACTTATTAATCTGCGTTGTAGTGGGTGGGTTTTTCTTGGTAGCAGTATTAATGCATAAGTTTATTATGAATTTATAAAATAACGGAAAGTCTAACAAGTGCTTTCTCATGAATTCATTTTTTCTGTTTTTAGGACAAGAAGATAAAACTAGACAAACATTTCCCGGACCTTCATATGGACTTGACGGAAGGTCAAACTCTCTTCAAGGTTCCCTTTCACCACACGAGGGTATTCCTTCCTGAGCAGCTGGTCGTACACGCTGAAGACTTTGAGGTTCAACACCAAAAAGAGATCATTACACAATATGAGGTCCGGCAGGCGGCAAAAGAGTTCAACCTAACAGCTGAAGAGTATCAGTACCAGCAAGTGATACTGGATAATTGTAAATCAGACTCTAAACTGACGAAGGGTACCTCATTTGATAGCAAGGACTCAGGCTGTAGTCTCACGTCTGACAAGCTGAGGAGTCTCTCCATCAATTCTCCTCTTTCTCCTGGTGACTGTCAGCTTAGTGTGGGATCAATGGTATCCATAGAAGATAGTAATTCTGTCCTTTATGGTGTCATTCAATGGATTGGCTCACTACCTGGTTGCACTGAAGCTTCGATGGCTGGAATTGAATTGGTAAACACACACACACACACTCACACACACACTCACACACACACACACTCACACACACACACACACTCACACGCATACAAACTATTGGAGAGTAAATATGTATTTGTATTATTACAACTCTACCTTTAGCTGTTGTTTGTAATTGTAGTTGTTATGTTAGCTAATGAGTAATGGATGCTATTGAACTGTTAGTCTACATACAGTATACTTTAGTGTCAGTGGTGAGGTCTAGTGATAATTCCATTTGTAAGTACAGTCTATGTCCTAATTTGAGACATTTGGAAAACTTTTTTTCAATTTCTAAGACTGACAATAATAGACTTTATGATGATAGAAAGTTTGAGCCAATTTCCACAAGAAATTTTTTAATTATGGCCATCTAAAGAAATGGGTCAATTTCTGAAAAAACCCTATACTATTATAGCCCATGGTTTTTCCAAAAAATGGCTCCCAAATCACCCCAAATTTTTATTATATTTTCTGATACATATTGACATACTTATGCTGTGTAGAAAGTTTGAGGGGATTCAGACAAGACATTTTCGAGTTGTAGCCATTTTAAGAAATGGGCCAATTTCTGAAAAATACCCTGTACTATAGCCCATAGTTTTTTCCAAAAAATGGCTCCCAAATCACCCCAAATTTTTATTATATTTTCTGATACATATTGATGTACTTATGCTGTGTAGAAAGTTTGAGCCGATTCCGACAAGAAATTTTCGAGTTATGGCCATTTAAAAAAATGGGTCAATTTCTGAAAAATACCTATAGCCCATGGTTTTTTCCAAAAAATGGCTCCCAAATTACCCCAAATTTTTATTATATTTTCTGATACATATTGACGTACTTATGCTGTGTAGAAAGTTTGAGGTGATTTGGACAAGAAATTTTCAAGTTGTGGCCATTTTAAGAAATGGGTCAATTTCTGAAAAATACCCTGTACTATAGCCCATGGTTTTTTCCAAAAAATGGCTCCCAAATTACCCCAAATTTTTATTATATTTTCTGATACATATTGACATACTTATGCTGTGTAGAAAGTTTGAGGTGATTCGGACAAGAAATTTTCAAGTTGTGGCCATTTTAAGAAATGGGTCAATTTCTGAAAAACCCCTATACTATTATAGCCCATGGTTTTTTCCAAAAAATGGCTCCCAAATCACCCCCAATTTTTTATTACATTTTCTGATACATATTGATGTACTTATGCTGTGTAGAAAGTTTGAGGTGATTCGGACAAGAAATTTTCGAGTTGTGGCCATTTTAAGAAATGGGTCAATTTCTGAAAAATACCCTGTACTATAGCCCATGGTTTTTTCCAAAAAATGGCTCCAAAATCACCCCAAATTTTTATTACATTTTCTGATACATATTGACGTACTTATGCTGTGTAGAAAGTTTGAGGTGATTTGGACAAGAAATTTTTGAGTTATGGCCATTTTTAAAAAGCATCACTTTTACACAATGAAGTGATTGAATTATCATAATGTTATTGGTACTTGTATTTACGAAGCAATTATTATTGATATAATTACAAGGCAATTATTTATTTATTTAATTATTTAGGATGAGCCATTGGAAGGATGCTCTGATGGTACTTGGGAAGGAAAGAGGTTGTTTGACTGCTCTTCTGGTCATGGCTACTTCACTTCACTGGAATCAGTTAAACCAGACATAAGATACCTCCTTGAAGAAGAAGAGGGGAAAAGAGACACTAGTAGGAACTACAGCATTGGAGGAAGACAGTATGATGATTCTCCTGAAGATAATAATGGAGGCATGAGCTTTGGTTATCACTCTGGTGTCTTCCAAGAAGAAAGGAGGAGCTTTGAAGAGACTAGGACTGGCTATCAAGAGAAGGACTCTTATAGAGAACAAGAATGGAAAGAAGGAGTTGATTATTACAGCAGCAGTCATAGAAATCCACCACCAGTTAGTATTAATAGCCACAAGAGCATGAGGCATGGTAGCTCTATGATGACAGGTGGTGGTGGGGGAAGGGAACAAGCAGGAGGTTCTCTAGAAATGGCAGCTTTAATACCGTCAGTTGTGCAGTCAAAGTTAAAGGAGCTTGAACAGCAACAGGATCACTATCACCCCCATCACCAGCCTATCACGTGGAGGAGGGATGAGAGGAGGGATGAGAGAGGGAAAGGAGGACACTTTGAGCAGCTACAGAGGAAGGTTGAACTAATGGAAGAAGCTCATCAAAGTGTCACTGCATCTCTTAGAAAGAAAGAAAGCGATTATATCAATCTTTATGAATCACATGAGAAGCTAATGGAAGATTATGAGGAGAGAGAGCAACAATATTTCCAACTTAAGCAATCCCACGAGAGCCTCTTGTCCAAGTATGAGGACATTGACTATGATTATCAACAACTGAAGCAGCTTCATCAAGAGCTGGTCCGTAAATACCAGGAAACCAGCAGAGAGGAGAGTCTAGACAGGAAAGAGTTTGCTTCAGTCCAAGCCTCTCACCAACAGCTTGAGTACAAAGTACAGCTAATGGAGGCTGAGCTTGAGTCAAAGAATAGGCAGCTAAGCTCATTGAAGAGGCAGTTGAATGCAATAAGGAATAGCTGGAAGATAAGGCACACTGATGTGTCTTTGACAGACACTGATCTTGGCAGAGGAGGCTGGGGTGTAGTTTTGATTGGAGAGTTTAGAGGACAAAGAGTAGCTGTGAAACAGATGCATGATGTCATTCAGGGCACCGAATATATGGAGCTCCTTCATAGAGAGATAAATACAATGTCTCAGTTGCGTCATCCTAATCTCCTCCAGTTTATAGGAGCTGTGTTAGACCATCCATCAGGTAATCTTATGATTATCACTGAAGTAATGGATACCTCATTACGGAGTGCCTATGAGAGGAAGGAGCTTACTACTGATCCTGGCTGTAGACCAGTGATTCTATCTATAATGCGTGATGTAGCTGTGGGTTTAAACTACCTACACTGTCTACCTGATCCTATTATTCATCGTGATGTCAGCAGTGCTAATGTACTACTGGAATCAAAGGGACACAACAAATGGAAGACTAAGATATCCGACTTTGGATCGGCTAATTTAGCTCAAGCAGCTTTCACCAAAGCCCCAGGAGCTCTTGTCTATGGAGCACCCGAATGTTTCCAAAGTGTCGTTGATTCTGGGAGACTTCAAACGACAAAAGTTGATGTGTTTAGCTATGGAATAACTCTCTGTGAGATCTTGACGTGTCGTTTTCCAGAGCACCAGTACTTCCAGCAGATGTTGCAGAGTATAAAGGAATACAATCTATCTAGTTTGATTGAGCAGTGCACTCAGAAGAGACCTCAAGAGAGGCCGGACATGAAACAAGTTATTGATAGCATTGATAAAGTTATTTCTTTTATGTAAAAAATTTAATCATCATTATTATTGTTTGTTTACTCTGTTGTCCTAATGCTGCTTTAAAAAGGAATACCTTAAGCCTACTATTTTTAGCGTCTACTAAATTTAGCTATATTAGCGAGAGAGCTTTAAATCCCTAAATTAAATAGATGTCAAAATAATTATTATTCATTACAATGGTTATTATTGATAGTTAATTTGGTTAAAAATGCTAAAATTAGTAATGCTAAACATGACTTTTGCTGATTTCGCTAAAATTAGTAGACGCAAATAATAGTAGGCTTAAAGTATTATAAAAACAACAATAAAATTAAAAGTTACCAGCTCCGTTAGTTTGTCAACTGCATCCCTCAATTCTTACAATTGGGTTTGAGTTTCTTTTACTAAACCTTTGGATTATTACATACTGGAATGACCCACCCCCACACACCACTAGCCTGGTTGCTCTAGACATCACTTGCATCTCAACTTGAGCAATGAAAGCACTGTTATCAACTCCATTAAACAGTAAGGGATCGTAGACCGATCTCTTCACGCCACGTGCTGTCATTAGTCTGACGTAAGAGCGATAAAATGGCCTAAGTTTATTATTATAAGGGAGTCCATCAGTGAAATACAGTGTGTGACTAATGTTATATTCAACTGATAGCTTCTTTGATTCTTCTATTGCACTGGTTATGCATTTCTTGTCATCAATATGTTTGCTGTTAATCGCCAGTTTCTCAGTCCTGATGTGGACACCAATGTACTCAACATCAGTTCCTGTTGTGTGTTTAATGAATTCAGTAGCATTGCCAATCACGTATTGACTGTGTGGTAAAACAGGTGAGATGGCTGTGTCATTACGAAAGAATTCTGAAGGGACAAACATACGAAAGTACCTATCTGGGTTGGGACGAGTTATACCCTGCCACACTTCAAATATGACCACATAGCTACTCATGGATTTGAAACCACACAAACTTGATATGTTTTCTGGCAAAGTAGGGAGTGCACCATTAATTTTGCAACAAGCTACATTTACCCCAGGGAAATTTGGATCAGTCCAGTGTTTGTTGATTTTCATTAATGTAGAGCAATCTATTGTTCCTGGATGACTGATCCAATTTTGTTGAGCATACACAATCTTAACATAAAATATCTGTAGCTCTTCTTCTCCTTTCTGTAAATCTAATTCCTTGATGAAGTCTCCATAATCAATCATTGGTGCATACCGGCTGTTCTTTTGGGGGTTCCCTTTAAAATCATCAAGCTGGAACAGTAAATCCAAAGGTAATTCTTGATCAACTAACGTTTTGTTGTCATGGAAATTCCAGAAGTCTTCTTGTCCAAGTGGTAAACCAAACAGTGAAGATTTCCTAACAAAAGGAATGACGACTCGAGCTTTCCAAAGTCGAGCGAATCTAAGCAGAGACAGCAAGTTTGTAACGCCTTGGGTCATCTTCTCCCAGTAGGAAAGAGCCAGGACATATCTACATGGTGGTACGGCCTGTGGAGAGGATTCCAACAGCACTGGATCTACCAAAGAGACTTCTTCAGAAGAATTCGGCGGATCCATCTCTCGAAGAAAATACACCATTAGATGCAGTTTCTGTCGCCCAGTACTAGCTCTAGTGACAGAGTACACTAGAAGAAGAACAACTAGGACCAGTAATAAAGCCAGAAAGAAAACACTTCTTTTGACATGCACCATGGTCAAAGGAATGCTACAGTGTAGTAGGTAGGGTTGCATGTAATTGCACAAACATAAATTGTATTTATAATTAATGGTAGTCTTCATGACTGTAATTAATGGGTAGGCCACTTCTTCCTTCCTCAGCTGAAGACACAGGAGTCTCCCCTAGTCTTCTCTCAAGTCCCTGCCAGGTTCTATTCTTTAAATAGGCTGGACCTGCAGACACAAGAAAGTGATACTTAAGAGGTATATAGTGCAGTAGACTCTCTTAATGGACACTCTCTATAGCATATACTAGCTAGCTTCCATTTAACAGATAGCACCTAGTGTACCAATTACATTCCTTACTGTATAAAATAACCTCCACATAAAGGACACCTCTGTATAACAGAGTAGCCTAGTCATACCTCCAGAGCCTTGAGAGTGAAGCAGTATATCTCTACTACCTCTTGTAATAAGGCTTTGGCCATCACTGCAGTCACCAGATTCTTCATTAGCTGCTCCTGATAACAGTCTACCAGTTAGGAATGAGAAGTCTGGGCTGGAATCAGACTCCATTGAATCAGTATGACAAGAACCACCTAAATACGGTAGATAATATTAAAAATCTCTCTCTCTCCCTCTCTCTTCCTTATCCTTCACATGCCTGGTAATAATTCTTGATAAGAGAGTTCAATGTCACCACTCCATGTTCTAGACCTATTATACATATAGATGTAGGATAAAATTATAAAATAATAAATAAGAATTACAAATATTAGTTAAAAGTATCCGCCACTGACTTTAAACATGCTACTTCCATTTCAAATGGAGTCACAATTGGTCTGTAATATTCCTAAAAATAGGTACACAACAACAAACCATACGTGTACATGTATATGTCTTTCTGTTAAAGTAACTTTACTTGTGTGTCTAATAGACTGCAATGAGGACAGGCAACAATCACGTATAGTTCAACTTCCATGAAATTAGCAAGTTTTGCCGGATTAAGCTTACCTACAGCTACAGTGTAAAACTAAAGGACAGAGAGAGAGAGAGAGGAAGAGAGAGAGGAAGAGAGAGAGAGAGAGAGGGGAGGGGTGGAAGAGAGAGAGAGAGAGAGAGGGGACAATCATGTAAAGATAGTTTTTATCACAATAAAACATCATTTTTATTATTGGCATTGTTGATAAAACAGTGAGCCAACACACATCATTCAATGCATAACAATCTCAATCTTTTTCAACGAATGTTTTGTGTACCTTCTTTCCAACGGCTTTCAGTATTTCCTTCAGTCTCTCAATCATCGAAAGGTAATTCACTAGTAACAATAATAACATCATAATATTATCATTGGTTTGTTAATGGATATAGAAAATGCACTTGTGTATGTACAATATATACAGCAGATGTTTTTATTTTCATTTTAAACTAATTTAGTTTCAATTTAGAAGAGAGCAGTAGTAGTTAGTATGATCATAGTATGAACCTGCTCCAAGTGTTCCAACTAATATTCCGATTGTGTTAGCTTCTTTAGCTTTTTGAATGAGATAATAACGTTTTCTTAACATTTGATTAACATTTAGTGATTCTACACGACTCGTACAAGTGCTTGGGTTATATGAATAAAACTTTTTAAAAATGACAAAATAAATAATTATAAGGACTAGTGTGGCTCATACCTGATTATCACGATAAGTGAGCATGAAATTTGTTAGCGTGGGACCCTCCGAGCCGATGTAGAATATCTTGTAATTGCTGAGGGGTCTGGTAACATTGAAACATCTCCCGAACCTAAAAATCATGAGTAAAAATTAACAACACAAAAGTTATTTAATGACCTTTTAATGAAGGATTCCTCTCCATCACTAATGTCACCTTCACTTTTGACACCATCACAAGAAGGAACTAATAACTTGGAGAAGATAACGTTTGGATAAATTGAGGAAACTTCATTTGAGAAATAACCTAAAAGAGAGAGTTATGCTATACTACGTAATACGTGTAAAAAAATAGAAACTTTTAATTTCATAGTACAAGGTATTTTATGGGTAGGAGAGAATTCTACATTTTTATTATATTTCCTGATACATATACATGTTCTTGTGTTGTGTCGCAAGTTTGAGCTGATTTGGATCAAGTTTGGATTTTTTATGAATTTTCAAAGTTACTCAAAAATCAGGTCAAAGTCCCTGTACTATAGTACAGGGATTTTGGCCAAATTTCACCAAAAATGACTAGGAGAGAAATCTCCATTTTTATAATGTTTCCTGATACATATACATGTTCTAATGTTGTGCAGAAAGTTTGAGCTGATTTTGATCAAATTTGGATTTTTTATGAATTTTCAAAGTTACTCAAAAATCAGGCCAAAATACTATAGTACAGGGATTTTGGCCAAATTTTGCCAAAAACAAAAAGGAGAAAATCCTCCATTTTCATTTTAAAAACAGATTCAAAATGCACTTACTTATAATGTGATGATACACGACGTCATACAGCACTATTATGTGTTCTGATTTATTTGGAAATAATTCTTCAAATTTTTCTTTCAGATCCACTTCGTCGACCTCCTCCTTACCAAACACATAAAGGACAGGAAGTCTCTTTGTTCTAAAACCACACAAAAATACACAATAATTTTGGTTTTAATATAATTATAATTAAAGAAAGAAATCCTTACTCAGTCAAACAAGACGTTCCAAAGTGGATGATCCCGTCAGACCCAATGTGTTCCGCCCCCACCTCATCAACACAGCAACTGTGTGACATATCATTGTCATGGAAACGGTTACCATGGCAACACATGCATGTACCTACCTCCCGTATGAAGTGTCCCCGAGTACGAAAAGGTCTTTTTTGCTCTCTCTTTGAAGGATGGAGGATACTCTAACTGATTCATGGAGCATATCATCAGGGAACTGGAGTGTGACCTTTTTTGGTGAAAGAGTCACGTGACTACACGTGTTATCACGTGGGCACTAACGGTTTTGTGATCTTTAATAAATTGAAGGCATTTCTCTAGCTCGTAGTAGCTCCATATCTCCTCGTCTTGTCTCTTTCTAGAGGAGAGACATGTAGCACCATTCCCTTTTACTTGCTCTTTGACTTCAAGAGATCCCGCCATTTTATTTTAGTTAACTAACTAACTGGTAGTTAATCTACTGGTGGTTAATTAACCATCAGTTAACTAACCACTAGTCAAATAACTTGAAAGTGATTTCCAACAATCCCTCTGTCCCAATAAAAAGAGACAGTTGCTGATAGATACGGTTTCTTCAATGCCCCCACGCTTCATTACAATCATTAGTGTAGGATCTGATCCGTCTCAGTCAAAACTGTAGTTGCAGAAAATAATCTTTCTTCTTCTTTGACCTAGTTCTCTTTCATTTATTGGCTATACTGCAGCCCTGTTGGGGCCTCTCTTTACCCAACCATGAGTAGCTACGACTCGTACGAAGTCTCTGTACAATACATTGATGACAGTGACCCGTTTAATGTTCTTGGTACCATCAAACATGCCGAACCATCTCCTCCATTGAAGTACAGCTTCGTCTCTGATATACCGCTCTGTGATCAGATAGCAGGGCTCAAGAAAATGCTCAAGGCGCCACACAAGGTATGTGATTCGTGTCCAGTTGGTAATGGGCTTGTTGTGTGTTATCGCATTTGTGTGTCTTGTCCTACACAATTTTGAAGTGAGAAAATGGCTCACTATTATTCACAGCTGCTCTTCAAATCCCTGCTAAACAACCTAACAACACTGATTAGCTAATGAGCTTTTAAAGTATAAAGTAATTTTGTTATACATAATGATGAATTTTTAATTTGTTTGATTTTAAGAGTCCTTTTCATCAGCAGCTGCAGAACTTAAAGTCTGTTTTTGGTTTTGTAGTTTCTTCTTGTTTGTGATTAATAGTCTTGTCTTTCTCTCTCACCATACACACACACGTACATGAACTTCACAACATAAATACATGTGATCCTACATCTGCATACAGGCACCTTCTAATTATTACAAATCAACAAAAGTTCACTTTCTGATCTTGTTTCTCTCTTCCTCTCTCTCTCTCCTCTCCCTCTTTTCCTCTCTGTCTCAGTTTATGCAACTACAAATAGAAAATTTAAATCTAATTTGTACTTAGCTTTGTACTGTACTGATACATGTAATTACCATCTCTTTGTAGTTGGTACTAATATTATTATCCATGTCCTCCATTAAAAAGTCCCCTTGTTATTCTGATGGCATACATCATGTCACAGTAGTGCATGTAATAGCAGGAAACTTGTAGTGTAGCACTAATGATGACATATTTTATTTTGTGTAGTAGTGGGTGGTAATGTTTCTTACTTACTACACAATGAACATTTGATCTTTAAAATTACTACCACTACTACTTTTTGTATGTGTTAATATACACTTTGTAATCCTTCTGTTTGTCTGTCCTCTCTCCTCCTCTCTCTCTCATTCTTGATCTGTTTAAAGAACTCACATATTCTCTATCATAATAAATGAATGGCTACATTATAGAGATAACATGTTTACCTTCTGCTCCTTTGAGTACACATGATACACACACACTCTCTCTCTCTCTAATTCTTATCTGTCACTTGTTGGTATGTGTATGGTAACCTCCCTTCTCCTTGGGAAGGTTTTGCCACCAATTAGTGACTATTCCAACTCACAATAAACAAGTCTGCCTACTGATTGAGTGATGATTAATTGAGTCTACCTTTGAATAATTTTTAAAATATAAATCTACATAAATATACACAATCACTCATACATTACATATTAAAAGTTTTTATAACCTGTATAGACTAGCTGATCATTTATTTATTTATTTATTTATTTGTTTGTGTTTCTCCATGTTCCATGTGTTGTTACTGACACTTCTCATGTCAAGCAGTATCTACATGTACATGTAGCTACAAGCAGTAATAATGAAAAACACTTTAGATGTACATATATTCAAATCACTCTTAAAAGTTATGTACATGTACATTTACATGTTCATAATGTCTCATTTACATGTACACATGGACAGTATGGTATGCTACCTCTTTTAACCCTAGCTGGCCCAAATGATATAATGTCTCAATTGGTTTGTGTGTTTATACCCAGTTGAGTATATCTATCAGTTAATGACATATACATGTACATGACATATGACATATGTACATGTACATGTATACTCATATGTAGCTATTGTGTAGGTGTGTGCATGTACATATACATGAGTTATATAAGAGGGTGTTGCTTCATTGCTTCAATTAGGATGAAGATAAACATAATATAGTACAAATTTGTCACTCCTGATTCACATACATTATTATTATTATTATCATTATTGGCTATTATTGTATACTGCACAGTTGTAAAGTGTTTGTGTGTGTGTGTGTGTGTGTGCGAGAGGTTTTGTGGAATGTGGATGCATGACTGATTGGTAATTATCACATAGTGGCTGTCACTCACACAAAGCTCCAATAGTATCAATACAGTACATGTAGAGCCTATTCTATCAGTACAGTACAGCTGTATAGTCTATTCTTTTGCTTGCAAGTTACATCACTATCTCTGGTTACATGTGTATGTACATGTACATGTATATAGTCCTTTAGCTGTCATTAAAATGATCTTCTTAAAAATTTCTACCTGTACATATTGTCTATATAATAGTAATGTATGTATAATATTTCTCTCTCTCTCTCTCTCTCTCTCTCTCCCTCTCTCTCTTCCTCAAATAGATAGATGATGCTACACTGGTTTATTACAGACAGTCTGATAAGGAATCCAAATATCTCGACCTTGAGTCTGACATGGGGGAACTGATAAGAGACTATAACCTCTCATTTGACAAGTGAGTTTAGAAAAAAAAAATTAAAAATAAATAAATAAAATGCAATAAATAAGTCCTTGTCTTATGTATATTTCACTTGTAATTATGCTAGATTATAATCATGCCCATGCAGTCTGAAATTTATTTAACAGACAAAAACTTTATTATCATTATTATCATTATTATTATCATTATCATTATCATTATTATTTTTAGAGATGCTGTTATATTTTTGAGACACAAGCTCTCAGTCAGAGTACATACCATTAACGGTGAGAATTAGTAATTTTAAATAGTGGATTATCAAATATTTCCCTGTACTATAGCCCATGGTTTTTCCAAAAAATGGCTCAAAAATCACCCTCAATTTTTATTATATTTTCTGTTACATATTGATGTCCTTATGCTGTGTAGAAAGTTTGAGCTTATTCCGACAAGAAATTTTAAAGTTATCGCAATTTAAAAAACGGACCAAGTTTTGAAAATTTCCCTGTACTATAGCCCATTTTTCTCCAAACAATAGCTCCGAAATTCACTCTAATTTTTATTACATTTTCTGATACATATTGATGTCCTTGATTTATTTAAATTTCTCTTTTGTCCAGAAACTTTATTTAACGCTGAGAGGACTACATTGCGTCAAGCACTCTTCTCACTCAAGAGAATGTTCCAGGTATGCACACACACACACTCACACACACTCTCACACACACACTCACACTCACACACACACACACCCACAGAGTCATTTACTCTATTCCTCATGTACACGATGTTCTTTAGTAAATGTATCCTCTTAATTCATTATATTATTATTAATTATATTAATTGTGTGTGTGTGTGTTTATTTATCATCATCTTCCCATGCCTCTTCAATAGACTATGGTCATGCATAGACAAAGCATTCATTCAGTCAATATCAGTATCATTATTTAGGATACTTGTTCAGGATACTTGTACATACATGTACATATATCCAGGATACTTATAAATGAGTATCAGTTGTGGTGCATGACTCTGTTTATAAGGATAAGGTATAATGTCCTTTGTACTGAAGCTGGACTGGAGCTCTCTTTGTGGCCATTAGAATTAGATAATAGCCTCACATACAGAAACCACAAGAGGATTAAAGAATCTGCACTAGGACATCATCACTGCTGTGACAAATGATGTCAATAATAATGACAAACGATTATACAGTACATGAATGGACTTATACCTATAGCTACATGTATATAGCCAGCAGTATTAGTACAGACAGCAGTGTTGTATGTACATGTATGTACATGTATGTATATGTACATGTACTTGTCACATGATTGCTTTGTGTTAGATGCAGTTGTGTTGTGTTGCAACCAAATTTAGTCAAAAGAAGGAATGAGTATTATTAATAATGTACCTTTATTTATACTCTGCACTCCTTATGATGTCTGGCTTGTTTTCATCTTTATAACCTTTTAAACTCTAACACAATAATGATACAATATTGATACAATAATAACTGTTAATACAATAATATTAATAAGACAATGTGTCATTAGATGCAGATACAATGTGGATTATATTTAAAATGAATTTATTTTAATTATTTGTTATGACATAAAGCTAGGCGTGTGCATACACATCATTAATTATATATCAATCTTCAAAAGAGAGAGAGAGAGAGGGAAATACAATTTACAGTACATGTACATGTACATGTATAACTTTTATTAGTTTACATGTACTGTAGCTGCTGCTGCCTAATGTACATATTATGTTCATGTATAGTTGAGGTATGATTGGAATGTTAATTATTCTGTTATTGGAATGTGAATCATGTCTTCTCATTTTACATAATATTAAAAGTATTTTATATAAAACACATTCACCACATCATCATAATATACTGACTGCAGATGTGATGGGTCAATGATCCTTTGGCTCTCCAGACAGTGTGGAATGCAGGGAATGTGTGATGTAGGGAGAGAATTAGAATTTATAAAATAAAAATTACATTTTACAGTATCATTTTAATAATGCATTTTTGATATACATGTAGGAAGAGAATTAGAAATTCATAATATACAATTGTTTTTCTACAGTATTTTAATGGTACCTTTGTGATTATAGGAAAAGGATTAGAATTCATAATAATATACAATTGTTTCCCTACAGTATTTTAATGATGAACATGTCTATACATGTAGGATGATTCTGACCTGGTGATGGAGTTTGTTGCTAATCAAGGAATGGACGCACTCATCACTGTAGCAAGAGATGCTGATGCCACCTTTCAACAATACATACTGAAAGGTACGCAGGAATTGTAACTACTGATAGAATAAATAAATAAATAAAATAATAACAGCTAAATAAATAAATAAATAATCAAATCCTTTATTCCAATAGCTGTTGGTGAGATAGTGGTGTATGTTGATGGAATGCATGGACTCATCAGGTGCAATGAGATGATACAGTGGCTATACCAACTCAGCACTTCAAAGGTAATATAAATGCTTAAAATGTACGTGTACATCTAAATGTATGTCACTACAAATTTGACAAATTAAAATCCACCAATTATCATTGCAAATTTAGCATACTTGTCACGGATTTTGTGACAATGGAACTAATGGGTTTTTGCTTGTCACGGATTTCGTGACAATGGAACTAATGGGTTTTTACTTGTCGCGGATTTCGTGACATTTCTCTCTTTTTCTAGTTTAAAATGGTCGTCAAGGCAGTTCTAGACACGTTGCTCCTGTTTGTTAATTATACCGAGGGAGGGGGAGGAGGAGGAGGAGAGGGTAACGGGGGACTCAAGAGTGGACGAGAGTCTCCACAGCAGAGAACCGGTTCCCCAGACTCGTCAAACGGGTTTAACACAGCCCAACTACTTAAGGACGCCATTGAGGCTTACTCTGACTCCAAAGGTACAACAATAATTCATTTATTTATTCATTTATTTATTTATTTATTTATTAATTTATTTATTCATTTATTTATTTATTTACATGTATTTTGTTTTTTTTGTTTATTTTGCAGGTTTAAAGCCGTGGTCACTGTTCATGACACTTTTGAGTGACAAGTCTTCAGAGGCAGACATTCAGACTAAAACAATGACACTTATAAACAGGGTAAGGATCAATGTGTTGGACACCTACTCCAGGCTTGAACTCAATAATGCATGTACTGTATTAGAGCTAAGTGAAGTGTACATTGTATTACAGTTAAGTACATGTATGTACATGTACATGTATTAGAGCTGAGTGTTCATGTGCATGTATAGTTGTGCCTCAATCCTTTAACAGGATTCTAATAATTATATGTTCATGGAAACAGAGCCCATATGCCATCAGTATATAAAGTATGATGTGATTATTCTTTAATTTGATTATAGTAACAAGTATGTTCACATACACTGTACTACATTTACTTCATGTGTTTGTTGCTATTTTTAGTAAATATTTCCGAGGGAAAGTGTGTGACTTTCTCAGCGGATTTTTAATGACGTTACACACACAAACAATGTGTTCATTTAATGATTTTAATTGTTTGTGTATGCATTCTATACATAATGTAGCTTTTGTTTGTGCTGTAATTCTCCTCCTCTCTCTCCCTCTCTCTCTCTCCCCCCCTCTCTCCCCCCTCTCTCCCCCCCTCTCTCTCCCCCCTCTCTCTCCCCTCTCTCTCTCCCCCCTCTCTCTCCCCTCTCTCTCTCCCCCCTCTCTCTCCAGACACTATCCAACCTCTCTGATATGGATTCATATTATGATATTGTGGACTCACTTGAAGATCAAGACATGGAGACAGTAATGAGAGTAAGTGTACTAATACTGTCTTAATTATTTATTTATTTATTTATTTATTTGTTTATTTATTTATTTATTTTAGTATCATCAGAACAGAGATAAAAACAGAGGTTTAGTGAAAGAGTTCAAAGCTTATGAGGTATATAAACTTTATTGATTGATATTTTCATTATTATTATTATTATTATTATTATTATTATTATTATTATTATTATTATTATTATTATTATTATTATTATTATTTTGATCTTTAGGAATCAATAAAGCAGTACTATACAGTGCAATATGAGGGGGAACAAGGGTAAGAGTTGATTCAATGTTAACTCAATATTAATGCAAGACTCATACACTTATTAACGCAATATTAACACGATATTAACACTCTGTTAACACGTATTCCTATAGTGCTCCTCAGCGTAAAATGAGACGGAGTAGAAGTCAGTCAGGTATATCCAGCCTGGCCACCACTGCCACCAGTAACAACAGTAACACACTCTCACCTAACAGCAGGCCAGAGACACCAACGTAAGATCACATGATTGTCACATGACTGATATATACTGATCACATGATTAACACATGTATCAAGTATAATTTTATTTTATTTTATAGTAAGAAGTCAACTTCAACCACTGACGTGTCTCCCAGTAAAAGTTCAAAGTTCACTTCAGAGAAGCCACCCAGCGGAAAGAAAGAATCCAGTACTGTTAAGAAAAGTGAGGGCTGGACTTTATTATTAACATATAAATAAACTGTATATTGTATAATTTAATGTACATGTACATGTACTGGATATGTATATATAAACTGTTTTTAATTGTATTTTCCATTAGCTGGTAAAGAGGAGACAAGTGGAGCAGCTACATCAGGTGTGTATATGCATGATCATATTTTAGTGCAACTTTAAAAATTTATAAAAAATCCAAACTTGATTGCAATCAGCTCAAGCTTTCTACGTTACATAAGAACATGTACATGTATATGTATCAGGAAAAATTATAAAAATTGAGAATTCTTTCCTAATCATTTTTGACAAAATACTATAGCCCATGGTCCTGGAACAAAATTATAAAGCAATTATTAGACACATTATGTTTGCTAGAAGTTTTAATGCATGTACAATGTACGTGTGTTATAGTGTTAACATATTGTCAACAATAGAGAAGTATTCATGAGATATTCTTCCTCTCAGCAGGTAGCAGCAGTAGATTGTCTCCTTCAAGTGGTGAAGGATCTTTATCAATGCAACGGTCATCTAGTGCAGGGACGGTACCAAGAAACAACTGTAAGGAGAAAAAAACATTTAAATTTTATTTATTTTATTTTTTAGTATCTTCAATAAAAAAAGATAACGATGTCCTCTCGTCAAAATCAACTTCATCAGTTGAGCCGTCATCTTACCTCTCCTCATTCAGAGAGAGGGAGATGGAGAGGGAGAAGAAGAGGGAGAGGGAGGAAGAGGAACGGCGTCTTGAGCGAGAGAAGAGGGAGAAGGAGAGGGAGAGAGAGAGGGAGGAACGAGAAAAGGAGAGAGAAAGGAAACGTATCGAATGGGAGAAGGAAAAGGAAGAAAGAGAACGCAAGAGGGCCGAACGACAAAAAGAGAGCGAACTCAATCGTCTTCCTTCCCCAACTCCCTCATCCGCTAACCGACGAAAACTCTCAACACCATTGACATCGTCCGAGAAGAAACCTCAACCTAAATATGGCGGGTTCGCTGGCTTTGGTATCACCTACTCAAAACCAACTCCGAAATCCCCTAGTCCTGAGATACCTTCTCGTTCATCCGACAGTCAACCCAGCAGTGACAGGGAGGACAAGTTGACCAGTAGCTCACAAAGTTCAGCTAGTTCAGGCTCTCGTAGTTCAGCAGAGCCTGAGACAACTACTAGCGCTAGAAGAATGACTGGTTCTAAGTCAGCTTCTGATATTTCTTCCCCTCCTCCTCCTACTTCTCCTAGTACGAAGCAAGATGATAAACCTAAGTGCAAGTATGGCGGCTTCTCTGGGTTTGGACTAACATATTCATCAGGTAATAAATCAGGAGAGACAGTTTCTACCAGATCAACCAGCAGCAGTAATAAAACAGCAGCTATTAGTAAAGATACTAGCAGGGATAAAGACACCAAGTCACAAAGTAATGGCTCTAGCACATCAAATAATACTAGTACTCTAGCTAATGGACTCTCTACTTCAGCTAATGGTCCTACTACAGCTAATGGTCCAACTGCAGCTATTGCTAATGGTACTACGAGTGAAAGTCCTAAAGTGATCATCCACGCCTCCAGTCCGATTGATACTCCTCCTCATAAAGGAGACATTTCTATTAAAAGTGCTACAGCAGTCGAGAGCAATAGCGAGTTCTTGAATCGTAGCAGGAGACTCCGACAGTCCGACGCTGGAATCAACTACTCAACTGGTTCTACGACGACCAGTGGAGGCGGAGTTGATAGGGACAAATGGAGACGAGAGAGAGAAGAACAAGAGAAAGATTTTGAACGAGAAAGAGAAGAATGGAAGAGAAAGAGAGAGGAAAGGGAGAAGGAAAGGCAAAGGGAGAGGGAGGAATGGGAACGAGAACTCCAACGGGAGAGAGAGGAGAGAGAGGAAAGACGTAAGGCCCGGGAACGAGAAAGAGAACAAGAAAGAGAACAAGAGAAACAGAGGGAGAAGGAGAGAGAGGAAAGACGTCGAAAATTGAGAGAAGATGACGAGAATAAGTACAACTGGAAGGATTGGGACACACACAAAACTGGAGGGAAATCTTCGAGTGATGATAAAACAACGTCGGACACTTCAAGCATAATGAGCAGACGCTACAAGAAAGAAGACAAGAACACAATGAGTTTAGAATCAGAAGAACGAGACAAAGTTTCTGATACTGTCCCTCTTAGACGTAAACCAGGTAGTAGATCAGCTCTGGGCGGAGAAAAGTCTCTCGAGGTTTTCTACAGACGACGCTCACGTCTTTTTGACTCAGAAGAGAGAGAGGGTGAGGGAAGTAACATTCCTGTCTCTCCCTCGGCTCCATCAGTTCCTCCTCTCAGTCCGAATGTAAAGACGGCTTCATCTGTATCAGCTCCTGCTGTGGTACCAGTTAAAGAACCAGTCAAACAAGAAACCCCAAAACCGACGCCCCCTCCCCCTGTCTCCTCCCCTCCCAGCCTAGAGTCTAAACCTGAGAAACCCTCTGTAATGAAACCAGCCGAGAAACCTCAAGAACCAGCCAAGAGTGAGACCCCAGCCTCAACTGTGTCTGTGCCGAATCAGGTAGCTGAGAAGGTGAGTGGTCCTGATGCTCCTCAAGGTCGGACGAGGATAGGAACCACATCAACTCAGATTGCAGAGAAGACAAAGAAGATGATGGCCTTGATGAACGATGAAGAGTCGGTTATTGACGACAAGAAGGTGGAAGTGAACAAGATACAAAAGAAACCAGAAGTAAGTTTTTACCCTAAACAACTCTTAATATACCATCTCTGTATGTGCTGTCACACAATGTAAAAGTGGAATTACTGTATTTATACAATGCATACATGTACTTACGTTTTCTCTCCCTTTCTCTCTCTCCCTAGCCTGCTCCAGTATTTGAGGAGCTCCCCATAGCTCCTCCGGCTAAGAAACTTGAGGACAACGAAGAGTACCTCCCTGAGCTTGAGTGGGCGTATGCTCCGAGTGACATTAAACTCAGAGATCTCATTGTGCGTGATCTTGATTTCACTGATTTAACATCAGACGATGAAACAGGAGGAGAAGAAGAATTGAATACTGCTGTACCCCTAGGGGGCGTTCCTCCTCCCCCTCCACCCCCAGGGGGAATTCCTCCTCCCCCTCCTCCAGGGGGTGCTCCTCCTCCTCCTCCGCCCCCAGGGGGCGCTCCCCCTCCACCCCCAGGGGGACCTCCCATGCCTCCGGGGGGACCTCCCCCTCCACCAGGATTACCAGGTATATGATAGCTGGTATAAAAAATTTGAATTAAAAATTTTACAATTATTGCACGTTAAAAAGTACGAGTGCTTTATTAATTTTAAAAATATTTTAAAGGTAAAAGCAAAAAAGAAGTGAAACAGCTAAGATGGCGTAAGCAGAATATTCATGTTCCTTCAACAAAGAAGTACGGATCCTTCTGGAAGGGACTGGAGACTGTCGAAGTACCTCAAGCAAAGTTCTTAGAACTTTTCACTCAAGTGGAACAGATTAAGAAAGCCGTAAGTGATGATAATAATAATAATAATAATAATAATAATAATAATAATAATAATAATTTATTTTCCTGTCTGCTTTCTGTAGTTCTTCTAATTCTCTAAGGGCCACTCCCTTTTTCTTTCTATGTTATTGTTTATCCCTTTGTGTCTTATTGCATAATAATAATAATAATAATAATAATAATAATAGTAATGTTGGTATATTTATCCTAGGATTCTGGTGAGTTAAAAAAGGAGAAGTGCATTACAGTTCTGAGTAATACAAGAGCTCAGAACATACAGATTGAAGTGAAGAGGCTCCCAGCAGCCAGACACATTCGTAATGCTATACTGAACATGGACAAGATGTTCTTTAACAAAGAAATGATTGAGGTACATCCTGACATGTAGTGACCAGCCCCACTGGAGGTGTGTGTGTGTATCAGTAATGTAATACCTGAGGACTGAGATATCTGCTTGAGGTGAAGCTGAGGGCAGATATCAAGGGACTCAGGTATTACATTACTGATACTCACCTCCAGACACACACACACACACACTGGTCACTGGAGACTTTTTACATGCTTTACATTTGAATATACATGTACATGTACATGTATATTCAAAGCTATTAGTTCATATTTTATGTTTTATAGAAACTGCTCAAGTTGATGCCAACTGAGGAGGAGCGGACTCAGATACAAGAGAAACATGCTGAGAGACCCGACCTACCCCTAGGGATTGCTGAAGACTTTCTGTACACTTTATCATCAGTCAGTGAACTGGAGGCAAGACTCAGTCTTTGGAAATTTGAATATGCTTTTCAATCGTCTGAAGAAGAAATAGCAGAATCACTTATGGACCTCAAAGGAGCTGTAGAAGAAGTAAGTACTTGCATCTTTACAGTATAGCCTCTCTTAATGGACACTCTCTATAGCGTACACCTCCATTTAATGGACAGCACCTAGTGTACCAATTACATTCCTTACTGTATAAAATAACCTCCACATAAAGGACACCTCTGTATAACAGAGACACTTTCTTGCCCCAAAGATTACACAGTATACATGTACATTGAGATACTGATACTATACTTGTATTATTAATTTTATTTTTAGATACGGACGAGTAACACATTGAAGCTGGTGGTAGGTGCATTACTGTCTATTGGTAACGTGTTGAATGGACAGAAAGTTGAAGCATTTGAGTTGGACTATTTAAGTCGAGTGAACACAGTCAAAGACACAGTACATAAGACTCCATTAATGGTCCATCTTGTTGAGCTGGTTATTGAACAGTTTCCTGAGTCTGGGGACCTCCACTCTCAACTGAACAGAGTCCACAGAGTCGCTAAGGTATACATGTACATGTAGGTGATGCATTGTGAAAAGCAGCAATTTTAATATGTAATTGAAGAAAATGCAAAAATTATTACATGTGCAATTAAAAGTGGACTTATCTACATGTTATTATTATTTATTTATTTATTTTTATTTTATTTATTTACTGTACAGATTGATTGGAATGACCAGAAGAAGACTATGGATACTCTCTCTGCCGACCTCACCAACAGCTGGAAACACCTGAGGGCCATAGCAAGGCAAGAGACCTCATCTGACTCCACCAGCATGGACAAGAAACTCAAATCAGCTCAGAGCCTCACTGACGCTGCCGAGAGACTGAGGGTCCTTGAGACGATACATAAGAGAGTCTTTAATCGATTTGAGAAACTCCTGCTTTATATGGGAGTGAACCCAAACCATCTTAATAAGTGGAAGGTAATGTTTAGAGCTTGTTAACTTTTAAAATTTGTAAATTAAATTTTGATTGAAATCAGCTCGAAATTTATACGCAATGTAATAAAAGCATTGACGTTTTTATGATATTTTTAGATTGACGATTTCTTCAAGTTGATCAGTGAATTCTCGCTGGAGTACAGGACAGTACATGGTAAAGTCCTGCAGAAGATTGAGAGGAGAAAGAAGGACCAGGCCAGACTAAAGACTAAAGGAAAACTTATTGTAAGATTATCATTAGAACAGTAATGAATCTTCACATTCATAATGTGCAATGAAGTTTGTACTTCTCATTCTTGATATTCCATATTCCATTCTTCATATTCCATTCTTCATATTCCATTCTTCATATTCCATTCTTCATATTCCATTCTTCATATTCCATTCTTGATATTCCATATTCCATTCTTCATATTCCATTCTCATGTTTCAGGCTCGAGTATCTTCAGCGTCGTTTGATGAATTAGGGAATGATCAAAGAAGAAACTCTCAAGATATATCGGAGGGACTCCTTCAACTAGAGGGAGGAGCAGGAGGAGGAGACAAGAATAAAGTGGAGGCCACTGACCTCATATCTGTGCTAGCTGATCAGGTTGTCAAGGAGACAAAGAAACGACAGATGGGGAAGAGAAGGGTAGCGCCAAGGAAGCACAGAGAGGACAAGAAAACAAGTAAATAATAATAATAAATGAATAATTAAATAAATAAATAAATAATAATAATAATAATAATAATACATGTGATCGTTGATGATTTTAAAATCTTTCTTTGTGTAGTTCGCAGGACTATAGGTAAACCAGAAGAATTGGAATTACTTGAGAAATTTAATCGCTCGTGGAATGATGAACAAAGTGCAGCAGCAGCTGAAAATGGAGAGCAATAACGAACCTTCCCTCCCTCCCTCTTGATCTTTCTTTCTTTCTCTCCCTCCCCCCCCCTCTCTCTCTCTCTCTCTCTCTCTCTGTAATTTGTATGTCTCTTGAACCATTATATAGATATGGACAATTATTTTTCTTAGCCCATTGTGATTTGTAAAATCAAAAAATTATTATCATTATTCAATAATATTCATTTACTATCAATTTATCATTACAATTATTACAAATTTACTGACTACTCCCAATCCGTATACACCAGTAAACTATAAATAAAATGGCGTCCTTTGGGGTTGGTAGCGAAGAGATTAGAAGCAAAATGACTCTATACGTTTTTACTGGAAACGAGTATTCTGCTTCAGTAGATCCAGAGAGCCTACAAATATTGGTCCGTTTGTTTATGTTTCTTTAAATTTTAACTATTTTAAGTTACTTGTTTTTTGTAATTTATAGACATATTTGAGACTGACGTTACAAAAAGAGGAAGAAAATGAAGAAATTGAAATAAAGTACACCTGCAAGCACTGGGAGTCACCGACCGGTAAAATAGTATTATTTATTTATTTATTTTTTAGTTTTTTTATTTTATTGTGTCTTATTTTAAAGGTGTTTTTCCTACTCTTGTCTCTGATGGTCTCTACTATACAGGAGTGGACAGCATCATCAAAGAACTGAAGAAACAGGTTATTATTGATGCATGTATCTTTAAAATTTGAGCTCAGAATCAGCTCAAACTTTCTACACAGCATAAGTACATCAATATGTATCAGAAAATGTAATAAAAATTGGGGGTGATTTCGGAGCCATTTTTTGAAAAAAACCATGGGCTATAGTACAGGGTATTTTTCAGAAATTGGCCCGTTTTTAAAATGGCCATAACTTGGAAAATTTTTGTCGGAATCGCCTCAAACTTTTTACACAGCATGAGTACATCAATATGTATTAGAAAATGTAATAAAAATTGGGTGCGATTTCGGAGCCATTTTTTGGAAAAAACCATGGGCTATAGTACAGGGAAATTTTTAGAAATTGGCCCATTTTATAAAATGACCATAACTTTAAAATTTGAGCTCGGAATCAGGTCAAAATTTCTACATAGCATAAAGACATCAATATGTATCAGAAAATGTAATAAAAATTGGAGATGATTTCGGAGAAGCATTACCTTTAAAAAAGCGACCACAACTTAAGAATATTTTCCTCAGAATCCATTTAAAGCTACTACATAACGTAAGTCCATTAATATTCAGACCCTGAAATAATGGTCAGATTTCTGTCAATGTCTGTCCATTCTAGCAGTTTGAAACTTGTGCTTTGATGCATTTTGTAAAATTTGTTTAAAAACATAACTAATACAGTATCACAATTTTACTATTGTTAACTCAAAAAATCTAAACAAAATATCATTAGAGTTTAGTTCAAAGAGGCCTAACATGTAAGTTTCACTACCAAAAAACAGCAATAATTCAAATAGCAATAATAATAATAATAATAGTAATAATTAAAATAAAGCAAAGGCAAAGATAAAAATGGTGACAACAAGTCCAACAAAATGAACAGAGGGACCAGCACCAGCAGAAGTAGTAGTAGAATTAGTGTTGCAGCAAACAATTGAACAGTTAGTCAGTATGCTTTCAATTTCATTCATTACTGCATTTGTACCGTCTGTATCCTGTTTCAAGACAGACTGGCTGCAGCTAGACCCTTTAAGGAATATTACCATAGCCCTTTCAAAATGCTGGCAATTACGCCAGATGACATTATAGCTTAAAACCCTCCACCTATCAGCAAACATTTGAGCTTGTTCATAAGAACAGCTGCTACTACCAACACTTACTATCCCATTAGAATTGAGATCTCTTCCATTAGCATATTTATACCGTGGATCTGTTATATCAAGTACCTGGACACCATAGGTTCCAAACTCGTAAGCAAACCCACGATAGATGACAAAGCGATGCTCAAGGTCATGGGTACTTTTAGAGCCCGAGAATCCAAGATAGGCATGACCAACCTGTATGCCATAATAGTTACCAGACACATGGTTACACGATTGATCCAGTGAAGGACACTCCTGAGACTGAACTGCAGTGCAGCGAGCACTACGTGGGGCTAAACACTGACCGAGACAGTAGTAACCATTGGGGCAGCTTTGATAAGCAGTACCAGCTCCTGAAGAACTGCTACGTAACTGAGCACAATAAATGCGATCAGAAAGTAAGCAAACCAAGGCAAAGATAAGACATATCTTGATGCTTAAAGACATGATATACTCCGACTGGGGTATTACTATATAGTCTCAACAGCTGGAGATCTAGTCACTAGTTAGGATCGCTGTAATTTATAGGAAATACCAGTTGGGCAATTCCTGTTAATTCCACCAGTTTTGATGTCGGTACAATTCCACAGCTCATTTCAGCAGCGGAGTTGAGCTGAAGTATTTTCTCACTTGTATTCTATCAACAGTCATATTTCCAGGAATTATGTTAATCTTGATTCATGTACACGTAGTTCCAGGAATTGTAGCTCTTAATATTTCCTGTAAACTATCATTGTTACATTATAACGATAGCCTTGTTTGATGAGTATAGTGAGAATTCCTCACTTACTGCATTGCCCAGTATTTAGCAGTGCAATAAGCAGCCATTTTCCTAAGATTGAGAATCACTAGAAGGTAAAGTAAGTCTTGGTATGTGCACAAGGTGGTGAAATCAATCTTAGGATTCACACTAACACTTGTTCATGCAGCTAATAATAATTATTATAAATTGTTAGTCCAAGGATTCAATAGACTATGTAACTGGGATTGGTTTTAATAAATTTGGGGTGATTTTGGAGCCATTTTTTGGAAAAAATATGGGCATTCAAAAAATTGGCCCAGTTTTAAAATTGCCAAAACTTAAAAAATTTCTGACAGATTCAGCTCAAACTTTCTACATAGCATAAGGACATCAATATGTATTATTATTATTAATCATTTTGTGTAGGGATTGGATTTAGATGCTGATTGCAGTGACGAAGAATTAGCGGAAATATCTGCTTACTCAGCATTTTTGTCAGACAGATTGAAAAAGGCACTTGTGAGTTTATAATAAATAAATAAATAAATAAATAAATATTTGTTAATTTTCTCATTCAGTTGTACCTCCATTGGGTTGAGGCTAAGAACTACACTGAGGTCACTAGGGGCTGGTTGTCGGGGGCAACAGTGTTCCCTTTCACTCTTTATATCCTCTCGAGACAGCACAGACTAGCAAAACAAGTTATCATGACCAGTTCATCTGGCAACACCAGCAACAACACAAGCACTATAGAACAATGTGGAATAGAGGTCTGTCTGTTATAATAATAATAATTATTATTATTATTATTTTTCCAGTTATTAAGTCAAGCTGAAGAGGCCATTTCATTGCTGGCTGGAAGACTTGGAGATCAGAAATACTTTTATGGCTCAAGGTACTGCAATCCACTTTATTTATTTATTTATTTATTTATTTGTTCATTGATTTATTTATTTATTATAGTTTGAGCAGTTTTGATGTTTTGGTTTTTGGGTATTTGGATCTCATTGCCCAGTACGAGTTGCCTGGCAACAACCAGCTGGGGACCAGACTCAAGTCTCTTGTTCAGTTGACCAACTTCTGCTCAGACATCAGAGAGAAAGCTTACCCTGAGATTAAATCAAGTACAAGGACACTCTCTATAGCATACACTAGCTAGCTTCCATTTAACGGACAGCACCTAGTGTACCAATTACATTCCTTACTGTATAAAATAACCTCCACATAAAGGACACCTCTGTATAATGGATACTTTGAAAGTGTCTCTGTTATACAGAGGTGTCCTTTATGTGGAGGTTAATGTTATTTTATACAGTAAGGAATGTAATTGGCACACTAGGTGCTGTCCGTTAAATGGAGGTGTACGCTATAGAGAGCGTCCATTAAGAGAGGCTATACTTTTTACATGTACATATTAATTTTCTCCATATTAGGACATGTCTCTACATCTTCAAGTATGTCCCCTTCCAGTCCGCTACGTAAGGACCCGACTTTCTGGATATTTGTGGGCGTGGCTGGAATTCTATTAATAGCACAAGGAATGAGGGTTGGACTGACAAGAAAATTATTAAAATAGAAATAATTATAATGATAATTAATAATAATAAATAATGAATTAGAGTTGTGTTAATTAATTAATTTTTATTAATGAGGTAGCCATCTTGAGGGCTCAGTAGTGGTATGCCGTTTTTAATTGGATAAGCCACACCCAGTTTATCATTAATTAACGTATTGGAGACTTCATCATACCTATAGAGACAATGGACAATGGTACGTGGGTAGATGGACGATGTGCTAACCGTAACGGATCCTTGGATAACGGACATACAATTGTACTCAGTAGGTCTTTACTGATTTGAATCGTCTTAGAATTATTTGAAGAATATCTAAGAGATACTTTTAATAAGGAATTCATAACAATAATAAATTAATGATAATTATAGGCTTTATTTTCTCTAGGGAAATGGGTTACAATGATTTAACGATATTCATTGAGGTCACGTGATATGGTTCATTGAGTAATGACAATTACAAGCTCATGAATATCATTAAGAGCCGGTGTCACGTGACAGGGCATGCAGCGGAGAGAAGTAAGATGGCGCCCGGGGTATTGATGTAGCTCCTTTGGCTGGCCATTCTCTCGCTGTCTAGGACTTAAGCAACGGGTAATCCTACTCAGGTAGTTTTAGGAGGGTTTTATCCTTCTATTTGACGAGTATCAGAAGCACAGAGGCTGTTTCTAGAGGTTACTGCTCGTTTTAAGTTCAAGTAAGGCTGCACGCATGCCTAGTACACGTGTTCTTATCAAACTGCTCTCTCTCCCTCCCTCTCTCTCTCTAGCTTGCCTCTTGGTACAGGGAAGTATGAGCAAAGAAGAAGAGAAAGAGGTAATTTATGATATCCTTAAACTATAATCGAGTACATTTGCACTAATTATTATTATGTAAAGTTAAATGTATTTTTAAAATTAATTATTATCGTCAAAACCCTGACATAACTATGGTGGTACAGTATTGCAATGGTCCGTTTTCATACTTTGTTAAAGACCAAATATGTACATGTGCATGTACGTGTGTTGATTTGCTGTTGGTGTTATCTGACATGTTCATTTGTAAATTGATGACTGTCAAATTGTACATGTGCCCCACCACCTCTCTCTGCCTGGATTCACCATTAGACAGATAGGGCTTCTTCCTATGTCTGCTTCAATTTGATGTCTCTCTTTCTCTCTCCTTTATCTTCCTTTTTCCCTCCCTCTCTCTCTCTCTTTAGTCTGTTGCATTTGGTGATTTTTCTTTTGATGAGGTGAAGGTTTTGCTCAACGACAACGAATCAGCAGTTCTGGTGAGTTGTGAGGGCCCCCCTCGGCCAAGGGTTCTGGTTTTGGTAATTGATGTTCTTCTTTTTTTATAGTTCTCGGACCCAGTATCAGTAGGGGGAAACGGAGGTAGCTCAGGTACATGTTATATCTAATCTATTGGAACATGTTGACTGTTGACTGTACCATGTACATATATCATTTAGTACATGTACACATGTACTCACTGTACTGACATTAGTCTATTTCCTGTCTGCTTTGTCATGTAGTCTGTCTGTACTTTGAACTCTTATCTCACAGTACTTTCTAAAACCTCTTTTTCCTATCCCTAATCCTAATTCATCTCTCTCCACCTGCCAGAAGAGCCCATTGTTCAAATATAAGTAATAATGAAACTGTACAATGAATGAATGGACTCATCCATTGCCAGACCACTCTTCATATGGTTACTATATCCTCTTTTGTGTCTCTGATGTTCAGTGGAAGAGTATCTTGACACATTGGACACTCACTATATTATGTAGTGCAATGTAGTATTTGTAGTTACACATAATTAATGCAAGGACAAGTAGGATTGTATAAATTGATTATAATACTTATTCCATCAGAAATGTTTAGTAGAGAAGGCTTTTTGTTTTTAATGCACAATGATGTTAATATAAGAACAGAATTTTAATCTGTTTTTGTCTGTTTCCCCATTGCACTATACAGCACTTCCTTTTGTAAGGAAAATATTGTCAATGAACTGTACCTTTAATAGCTAATGGCTATGAATGATGATTGAGTCTTGCATTACTTACTGTATGTGTTCTTGTTCCACTATGTGTGTGTGTGTGTGATAGTCTAGCTGTCACATTCATTATGTCATAAATGTTCTCCCCCCCTCTCTCTTTCTCTCTCTCCTCTTAATTTGTCTATAAATTACTGGACATTGTCCTATTGTCTTTATATTATTATTATTGTGTGTTTGTGATTCCTTTTATTGTTTGCATTGCTTTTAGAAGCTACATGCCATGTACATGTATTTAAGACCTTACTGTTCCCCCTCTCTCCTTCCCCTCCCCTCAGATTCAAAGAGACACCAGTACTCAACTGCAGCTGCTCCTAATAGTCCAGGTGGCTTATATCCAACAACTATCGGTAACAATAGTAATAATAATAATAATAATAATAATAGTAATACACTATCTCTTTATACCATAGCTCCTCCCACTGTACCGCCCACGTTCCCAGGTCCGCCAGAGTTCTTATTCTCAATACCTTCAGCCGACTACACCAAGAACTATCAGTTTGGATCCCTTCCCACTACTTTAGTGATGAGTGTTCCTCAAGTCGGGTCTTTTGTTTCCGCGGGGCCCCCCCTTAATTCAGTATCCGGTGGGCGTGGCCCCGTTAGACTCAACGTTTTTGCGAAAGAGTTTGTTCCGACGTACGTCCCACCACACCTCTCGATAATATCAAAAGGTGAGGGTGTGGTCATGGGCGGGGCTTACACTATGCCTCCAATCATACCTCAGCCGTTCATGTTTTCTCACCCGTCCTACGGGGCCCCGCCCATCATCTATCCTACCATTCCTCTTCAAATGATGGGCCACACCCATGTAGGGATACGCCCATCAGGAGGAGCTGGACCACAGGTTGCCGTGGTAGCGCCTTATCGTGCCGCTCATGAGGCACGACCTCTCTTTGTACCGCCCGAGAAAAACTACGAGAGAATGGGAGACTCAATGTCTGACGAAACTGGAGGGGGCGGGTCAAATCAGATCAAGTCTCTCTCACTCTCTCCTCAAGCCACACCTACTGCCATGCCCACTACTGCTAGGAGTTCGTCAGTTGGTGATGTAAGAGGATTAGGAACTAGTAATAATGATAATGTTAATGGGCGGAGTCAAGGAGATGATGAAGAAAATGAAGTGAAAGTTGATGACGTACAACAACAACCGACTGATGATCAGGAGGTAAGCTATATACCATGTTCATGTACAGTGGGACCTCCGATAATGAAACTTATCTTTAACAAAACCTTCCTTGAGTGTTTAAAAATTAATGCACCAACTTTATCTGTTATTAACCCAAAAAAACTTTATATTTATTTATTATCATTTATTTATTTATTATTATTATTTTAGGTTTTATCTGATAGTAAAGGTAACTCATCTTCACCGTCCGGACAGTCCCCACCCCCTCCTCCAACTCCGCCCTCTTCTCCACCCACTTTCCCTTCAGCAGATGTAAATTCAACCGATAGCATACCTAAACCAGCACAGAACGAATCTACCATTAGCCCTATAGATACTAATATTAATAATGATTGCACTACGACCATGGACGATACTTGTAACAACGGTCGTCCGTTAGACGAAGACACAGGAGACACTGGTCAACTGGATCATACTAATGATACTGACCAATGGTCACCACCACAAGACGACAAACCACACCCACAATGTAATAAGCCCCACCCATCAAATGACAAACCACACCCACCAAATGACAAGCATATCATTGAATCACAGTCAGACAGCGTAACCATTAGCAATAGACCACACCCATCAAATGATAAGTCACACCCATCCAATGTAACCGTTAGTGATAAGCCACACCTACCTAGTGATAAATCCAATGGTAAAGGTGCTACAGGTAATAGCTCGTTACGTTCGTGGGCAGCAGTTGTAGGAAAGAATTCTCAGCAAGCTCCGCCTACTTCTCAAGGACCACGACCAAATAAGGACTCGTCTTCTAAAGTGGGCATGGCCAGTAAACCAGGAGGCATGGCTGAAGGATTGAGCAAAGACGAGCTCTCAAAATTAGAAGAAATGAAAATCCAACGACTTAAACATTTCGGAAGTGAGTCCATTCAAGAGAATTTTTCATTTTTATAATTTTTAAATTTCCGATCAAGTTTGGTTTTTTATGAATTTTTGAAGTTGCTCAAAATTTTGTCAAAGATGTACCCTTCTATAATTGTTTCTTGTCTTTTGCAGGACAATTGGAGGGTAGGCCTCTCAATCATAATTCAATTTCAATCCTCCCGAGAGGTTTATTAAACTCATCCAATCACTGCTTCATTCACGCTGTAAGTTGGGAATTTTATAATAATAATAATAATAATAATAATAAATTTAATTAATTTTAAATTAATAATAATAGAATGATAATAAATTATTCTAAATTATAACTAGTCCCTACCATATTTCATTTCATTATGTTTATATATTGTTGTGGTTTTGTCCATTAATAATAATAATAATAATAACAATAATAATAATAATTGTTATTAATATTATTTTATTCTCCAGCCTCTGCAAGCGTTAATAAGTTGTCCCGAGTTCACTAATCTCCTTCGCTCTCTCAGTCTTCCTAAAACACCATCAAACGATGCGTCATCCCTGGCAACAATCGTCACGGAGAACATGTGAGAGTCAGCACTCGTGTGATCTATTATTGCTAGCGTCTCTCTCTCTCTCTTTTTTTTTAGGGTCAAATTTATCGAACATTTTTCTTCTACTTATCCTCTGAAACCAAGCTATGATTGTGCGTTATTTATAATTGAATTATTCAGTTTTTAAAAATTAATTTTCACAGCCAATGGACGCCGTAAGAAACTTAGAGACTTTTCTTATGAGAAGCCGTTTCGACCGGATTTTATTTACGAGATATTACCCAAAATAAAATCAAGTCTCTCAATTCAGGCAAGTACAGTACTTGATGCATATTGATGTCCTTATACATAGAAAGTTTAAGCTGATTCTGAGATCAAATTTTTGAGTTATGGCCATCTAAAGAAATTGAGCCAAATTTAAAAAAATACCCTGTACTATAGCCCATGCTTTTTCCTGCAAAATGGCTCTGAAATCACTCTCCATTTTAAATTATATTTTAATGTACTTAATATTAATTTTTCTTATAATTTATTAGGGTCGTCAGGAAGATGCTGAGGAGTTCTTGAGTTGCTTTTTAAATAAATTACATGAAGAAATGGTCGCCGCTAAACAATCTGTCCTGACCCCACCCCCCACCACCAGCGCTAACGAAACACAGGAGCTGAAGACAGGTGATAACGAGAGGGGTGGAGCCGAGGAAGAGGAGGAGTGGCAGGAGGTGGGGCCTAAGAATAAATCAACAATCACTCGCCAGGTAATACTGTATACTATACCCGTACAGCATTTGCGTGTGGTAACGTGTGTGTGTGTGTCTTTGTGACACTAAATGCTGGTACTAATCATGTATTAGTAATTGGTGATTGCTTTGAAGGGATTTGTACCAATATATCTTTATCATGTCACAATTAATTGTTTATTAATATTAATTACTTATCTGTAGTAAGCTGCAGATATAGCTCCTGGTTCATGTACAAGTGTCTGCTCTATTGTATGGTTCATTTTGTAGCTAGAAATTTGATTTTTTTTTTTTGTTACGATTAAAAATTGTTTGTGTGACATAAAAGCTGAGAGAAAGTTAACGTTATATGACACTGCATGTGCTGCAAGAGAAGCCTCTGTTGGCACACCCCCTTTTTGAGGGTGTGGTCTACCAGTCGGAAAACACTGCAGCTATATTAATTAATTTGATCTGTTTGTTATTGTTAATAAACTGGGCGGAGCTACATTTTGCCTCGTTACAATAGTGACAGATTATATTTTGAAATGTATGAAGTATGATGTGTGTGAATTACATCTCTCTCTCTCTCTCTCTCTCTCTCTCTCTCTCTCTCTCTCTCTCTCTCTCTCTC